GGTTTAGGTTTAGGGTTTAATTAAGTTTAAGGTTCAGGTTTATTGTTTAATTAGGTTTAAGGTTTAGGTTTAGGGGTTTACAAACCCTTTCCTCGTAAAGCCCTAGTAATAGAAAACACGGGCATAGCTAGTTCCTCGTAAGCATTACGAGGACTTTACGAGGAAAAAAACGCGGGCATAGCTATTTCCTCGTAAGCTTTACGAGGACTTTACGAGGAAAAAAACGCGGGCATAGCTGTTTCCTCGTAAAGCCCTAGTAATATTACTAGGGCTTTACGAGTAAACAAAATTTCTTATATATACACGAGCAATCCGACTGCTCAGTCATAGTAACTTCCTCTCTACATTCTCTTAAAGTACTCTCTAGTTCCTAGTTAGGTGATTAGATTAGGTGGTTAGTTTAGGGAATTTAGATTAGGTGGTTAGTTTAGGGAATTTAGATTAGGTGGTTCGATTATGAATTTTTAATTACGTTTGTTTAACTGTTTCTGTTTTCTGTTTTTTTTTTTAAATTTAGATGGTTAGAAAGAGCAAACTTGATGCTGCTCAGTCCAAGAGGCATGTAGATCAGGAGATTCATTATGCGGATATATTCGGGTCCGGGTCCTCTTCATCAGCGGCCGGTGGTTCAGCTTCAGGAGTTCCCGAGACCCAGGGCGGTTTTACGGTATCCCGGTCTCAGCAGCCACCTCCTCAGCCTCCTCCTCAGCAGCCACCTCCTCAGCCACCTCCTCAGCCAACGGTCGGGATTCATCCTGACTTGCAGGTACCTCCCAACGCACCATTTGCGGTGTACACGGTGGAGGATATCTTGGCCCTTCCAGGCAGAGAAAGGCTACCAGAGTTAGATCCTTTCCGGCGGGACGGCCAAAACGTATTATGGTATGTTTTAATTTTTAAATTTTTTTATTAAATAATTTTAAAAAGTGTTATGGTATGTATATATATATATATATGTTCTTATTAATGATTTATTTTCTGTCTTTCCAGGTTTGGTCTTGACAATGCTGTCAGATCTAGCGTCACGGACAGTATCAAGGGATACTTTCCCGATGCAGCTCCAAACTGGAAGCTGACGGCGAGCCACACCAAAAAGACGTGGTTCAAATCGTTCGCTGTAAGTAATTTAGTAAATCAATTTGATTTATTTATAATCATTTAAAATTATGAATTTTATTAAACTAATCCGTCTTTTATTTTTTCTGGTTGCAGCAAAAATACCGTTGGTCTATTGGGATTCACCAGCGGGTGAAGTCCGAGTTCGAGACCAAGGCAAAATCCCGATTGTGCGACATGGTCTACAATTGGAAGGGCGACTTTCAGGTATAATTTTAAAAATTATAATATATATTAATTATACTTTTATTTAAAAATATATTTTATTGACTTTTATTCTAATTATTTCAAATCTGCAGGTGAATGGTTACGAGCGCGGGAAACCCAATTGCCTCATAACCACGGTGTGGGATGGCCTCATCAGCTATTGGACGTTGCCGGATTCGATCCGAACGTCCAATACAAACTCCGGGAATCGCATGGCCACGGACCAGCATGGCAACACGAAGACACTTCACACCACGGGCCGAAAGCCTCACGGGGGAGTTCGTCTAGACATGGTACGTATTATTTTATAACTATAAAATTTTTACTTT